AGGACACCTTGTCTGACTCCAAGCTGGAAGAGGAGAGGGATTCGGTTGCTGCCCTAGAGTCCTCACCTGGTTCTGATGTATACCTTTCTTTCTCCTTTGGAGGACCTCTCATCTTACCACAACCGGATGGAAAGTCATTACACCTTCCTTCCAATCTTCAAACTGCTACCACCAGCAAAAGACAGGATCCAAAAGAAAACCAATATCCCCACAGAAATAGCAATGCTTGAAACCCACACTGACTCATTAGCCAATCGTGGCAGAGATCTTCCTCAATCCTACCAACCTCTGGCGGTATTGAGAATTTTTACAGGGTCCAACAGGACAAAGCTAAATTCCTGTTTAAGCATCATACACCTAACTCTGTGGTTGTCCAGACAGCAAGGATGAGATCCAAGGGCTCCTCCCATGGTACTCCAAACAACAGAGAAAGCTGTAAGCTGGACCTCTTAGCCTGCAAGGTCTAATCCTCTGCAGCACTCCACATGAGCTTAGCTAACTACCAGACTATGATGGGTGCATTACATCACTATCTGGGAAAAATTCCAGCCTATAATTGCTGCTCTACCAGCAGACAAGAAGTCACAAGCTATCCTCCTTTCAACAGGAGGCTTACACCCTGGCAGGACAGCAGATCCACTCTACCCAACATGTGACTAACTGTGTGGCAAAGAGCATAGCAGCAAGCATCACCCTGTGCCGGCATGTCTAGTAACAGTCAACAGGCCTCCTGGAAGTCCAACATCGAGGACCTCCCCTCTGATAGAGAGGGCCTTTTCAACACTAAAACAAATGCCAAGAAAATGGGCATACACACATACTGCTCAACACCTCACACTTCTACCCACACTAGAAGCGATCCCTCCCATACACTGATTACAAGTCCCTATTAGAGATGGGGGTGTTTGTATTCGTATACGAATATGAATACCCCTGCACAGGTGGACATAACGAGGGTCCAGCCCCCTGGGGCTGGACTGTCCATTCACCTTCCGTTGTTGCCACAGGCTCTGCGCTCCCTTCCTATCCCTCTGGAGCTCGTGGTCTGTGAGCCACTGTTCAACTTGACAGCGAGGCTTGTCCTCCCACCTCCTGCCAGGAGTGGCTCGCAGACCCCAAACTCCGGAGCGATAGGAAGGGAGCGTAGAGCCTGTGGCAACAGCAGAAGGTGAGCAGACAGTCTGGCCCCAGGGGGCTGGACCCTCGTTATGTCCACCTCTGCGGGGCTATTCATATTCATATACGAATACACCCATCCCTAGTCACCATCTCAAAGACCCAAAGAATCAGATCAGTCTGCAGATCAGCATTTCAGCCCTACCTCCTCCTCCTCTCATAAGTGCAAACAGGTGACCTTCATGAAAAAAGCAGATAGGAAACCAAGTCAACAGTTTTGACATGCACCAGCCCGAGCTCTACATACACATCTCTCTACCTCCACCACTTCTTGGCCCTGCAGCTGCAGACATACACTTGACACTGTTTATCCCTACTTGGGGCGCTATCATGTCAAACGCAAGGGTTCTCAACATCATCACCCATGGATACTCTATAGAGTTCTCCACTCTTCCAATCACAGGGTGTAGGCTAAAGGAGGTACTTGAGGAAATGATACACAAAGATCAAACAAGTTTCATCCCAAAAAGGAAACTATCATATAAGATCAATAATAAACATTTTGGAATATTATGAAATGCATCCGGAAAAGCAAATGATGTTAATCTTTTGCAGAAAAGGCAATGTCGATTGGGAGTTTACTTTTTATATGCAGAAAAGGCAATGTCGATTGGGAGTTTCTGTTGCTGCAATTAAAGAGGATGGAAGCAAAAGGAATTTTTCTACCAACAATTAAAGCAATATACAGTGGTGCCTCGCTAGATGATGTTAATCCGTTCCATTGAAATCACTGTCTTGTGAAAACATCGTCTAGCGAAACCTGTTTAATGCATTCCAATGGGGAAAATAGTCATAGTCCAGCGAAAAACGCCCATAGGGAAGCCATTTTGCGAAGCCACCAATCAGCTGTAAAAATCATCATCTTGCAAAAAAACAGTCTGCAAAGCACAGACCAAATCATCGTCCAGCGAAATCCCCCATTGGAAAAACCGATTTGCGAATCACTATAGCGATCGCAAAAAGTCAATGTCTAGCGAAAAAAATGTTTTGCAGGGTAATCGTCTTGCGAGGTACCACTGTACACTAAACAGAAGGCCAATATTAAAATCAGTGGTCAAGTAACTGAAAATATTCAAATTGAACAAGGCACAAGGCAGGGTTGCCCACTTTCTCCGTTATTATTTATTCTAACATTAGAGATTCTAAACAGATAAGTAAGAGGGAATGCTGGAATTAAGGATCTCATAATCAGGGGAGAATAATTTAAGCTGCAAGCATATGCTGATGATTTAGCAATAATACTAGAAAACCCTCTGGACAGTTTGGAAGAATTAGTGAGAACTAGAGAAGAATTCGGAGCTGTTGCAGGTCTTAAAATAAACTATAAAAAACAAAATTCATTAATAAAAACAAAGAAAGAAGATGTGGAAAGACTGGCAATGAAAACTGATTTCGAGGAGGTACAGAAAGTGAAATACCTAGGAGTTATCATTACAAAAAAAACCCAAGTAAGTTGATGAAATAAAATTATCTTACAACACAGAAGGAAATTCAGAAAGACCTGGAAGAATGGAATAAGCTACAAACCCCTGTGATGAGGAGAATCTCGACAATAAAAATGATGATATACCAAAATTATATATATACCAGTTTTATTAAATTATAAATACTTCAAGGACCTGGACAGCCTGACTTCGAAATTTGTATGGAAGGCCAAGAAACCAAGAATAAAACTTAGAATACTGCAAGACTTAAAAAAAATAAAGATGTGGTTCAGGACTACCAAATTGGCTATTATAATAAGGCATGTGCCATGGTCTGGATAAAAGAATGGATAACATTAAAAAATCAAAGATTATTGAAATTGGAGGGTCACGATCTAAAAATGGGTTGGCATGTATATGTGTGGTATGGGAAATACAAGGAACAATCACATTTTGCAGAGCATATTCTGAGGAAGGTGCTCTGCTTAGTATGGTAAAAATTTCAAACACAAACCTACAAGAAAATTCCAATATGGGTAGCACCAATACAGTGGGGTCTCTACTTAAGAATGTCCCTACTTAAGAACAATCCAACTTAAGAACAGCTCCATTTGCTAAATTTTTTTCTACTTGAGAACAGGAATCCAAGATAAGAACAGGAAAAAAAAACCTTTCCTGCTCTTTTTTTAACCTTAGGTCATCTTAGGTTAAAAAAAATTCTCCCCCTAGTGGTAGAGTATGTATTAACCAGCTTTGCATTAGTTCCTATGGGAACTAATGCTTCAATGTACGAACGCACCTCTACATAACAAAAAAACAGCCAGAACGGATTAATTGGTTTTCAGTCCATTCCTATGGGAAATTTTGCTTCAACTTAAGAACGTTTCAACTTAAGAACACCATTCCAAAACGGATTAAGTTCTTAAATAGAGGTTCCACTGTAGTTTCTATGGACGGAAAAGAGCAGATACGGATTAAATGGTTTTCAATGCATTCCTATGGGAAATGCAGATTCAACATAAGAACTTTTCAACTTGAGAACCACCTTCCAATACGGATTAAGTTCTTAAGTAGAGACCCCACTGTAGAAGCATTCACTTTGAAAGTCTGAATCAGAAGGGAGCGTTACTCACGTATAAAGACTTATTAACTAAAGATCAGAATATAAAAGATAAACAAGATCTAAAGAAACCGGGTCTAGCTGCAGATTGATGGTCAATGTTGAAATTAGAATCGAGATATAAAAAGGACAAAACTATGGGCTATTTTGAGGGGAAAGTCCAGGTGGATGAATTATGGATTTACACTAATGAGAAAATATTTTTTAAAAAATGTATACATACCTATTGGAATACGACTTAGAGGATGAGAGGGTGAATGAGGTGATGGTAAAATGGGCACAAAATTTTGAGTACAATATTGATATTGACGAATGGACAAAGATGTGGAAAGAGAATCATAAAATGATTAGGCCAGTGAATCTTAGAGAAAATATCCTTAAAATGTTTCATAGATGGCATTTTACCCTGTAAGATTGGCAAAAATGTTAGAAGGTAACAGTAATGTTTGTTGGAAGTGTAAAAAAAAAAATCCAGGGACTTAAAAAAAAATTTGGATATACAGGTTTGGGAAATGGTAAAAGGGATTGTTCAACAAAAATTAAGTTTTAAACCTTAAATGTTATTATTGAATATAATGCCAGAAATTATTGACAAGAAAATAAAATATAGTCTACTCTATATATTCACAGCAGCTAGGTTACTCTGGGCCCAAAAGTAGAAGAATGTAAAGACACTAACAATTGATGAGTTATTAAAGAAGCTATTGGGCACTGCAGAACTAGACATGCTTTCAGAGGCACTATGGGATCAACCAAGAGACTTTGTAAAGCAAAGCTGGAAGCTGATGTATAATTGGGCCTAGAAAAAGAAAGAAACTTAGGGGGGAAATTAGTCTATAGCGAATCAGTGCTCACTGGAATCCCCTTGAAGATATTCCGATGACCAGAAATCTCTGATCCATAGGGGAAGGATGGATGCTTATCTGTGGGGTTTTTTTGTCTGTCTATTTGTTTTGTTATCTGTTAGATTGTTAATGTTTTTAATTTTGTATGTTTAGATATGAATAAAATGGTTAAAAATAATAATTAGGTTTCAGTTTTATAATGTTAGGTTCTTATGGCATGTGATATCTTTAAGCTGAATATTATAAGTCTGCATAATATATCCTTGCCAAAATTAAAGTGGAAAAAGTGTGTGGGGGTGGTGGGAAATGACAAAATATTGTGGCACATTAAAGACTGACAGATTTTGTGGATGGTTGTATTAATAAAATACAACATGAAAACTTTCCTATTTTCTCTTCTTCCTGTTTCCCTCCCTTCCCCCAAATATCCCCAAGTGTGGAAACTATGCAGTCCTGGTAGATCTCCACCTTATGGCACAAGACTCCAGTGAGGACAATGTGTGGCTTTCTGATCAAAAGAGAGAGGTAAGTATCTATCTATCTATCTATCTATCTATCTATCTATCTATCTATCTATCTATCTATCTATCTATCTATCTATCTATCTATCTATCTATCTATCTATCGGGAGAGAGAGTGCGCGCAAAGAACTTGATTGGTTTGCTCCATTCCTGAAAATGTTGCACCTTTATATCTAACCGCCATTGATTTTTGGGTGCAGGGCTTTTCTGATTTCTTATCTCTCTTGATGCAATTAAGTTCTCATTCACCTGTCAGTTGAGGTGATAGGCAATCTAGAATTGATTAGCATTCAATTAACAATTTTAAATTAGTACTTGTAGGTGTACTGAAGTTCATGATCTTATCAGTAACTTGCAGCTGTGTGCATGCAGAAGTGGTGGGTGCTAGAGCAGCCAATGTGTATTGGATCACCTCCCTGCTGCTTGCTTCACTTCAATTAAATCCCATTAATTCTTCTGTATTGCAGAGACCCATAGAATGACACAAGGATGGAATAAGAAGGGAAACATTTCATTTTTGAATTGATTTATGGGAAGATAGGGGTATTTATTTATAAAAGTATTTGTATTCTTTTATGATAGAGCAGCCAAGGCGTATTGGATCACCTCCCTGCTCCTTGCTTCACTTCAATACTTGTAGAATTTTGACAGTCCCATTAATTCTTCTGTGTGTTGCAGAGACCCATAGAATGACACAAGGATGGAATAAGAAGGGAAACAATCAGTCACACATCCCCAATGTAACTTATTGCACTGTACACCGGTAGAAGTGTTTCGGGGATAGCACTTCCACTTCAGCTGTAGCGCAACTGCTGTGTATGCAATCTTGAGCTGCACAGTAAGATTTTGGCCAGTATTATCACTTTGTTCGCCTTCTACATTTCCATGTCTACTTTCTGTCTATTGTGTATACAATCACTTGACATCTGCCATCTTTATTTTGGTCTACGGGTCTAAAATACAGTATAAAATAAATGAGTAAATAGTTGATGGTCACTGCTGGCCTGAGATACGAGATTATTTTGGGATAGGTCTCCAAACAATTTTCTATTTTTCATCCTTTCCTCCACCCCTGTTCTTCCAAATATCCCAACTGTGGGAACTTTGCCATACCTACAGAAAAATATAATGTGCTTAGCTAATATAGGTGATCTAGGAGTAATAATAGTGTAGTTAAAAACAAGTTCCACCTATATTAAGTGTGGGTTTCAAATCAAATATAGCATTGTAACCTGTATTTTTCCTTCTTTCCCAAAACACATAGGCTTGCAAAGAACACATTGTTCTGTAGAATAACTTTTGAGAATTCATAATTACTCAGATGTAGGACATATTTTAACTTGTTTGTTTATGTGCCATCAAGCACATACCTACTAGCACATACCTACACCAACTTATTGCAGCCCTAGTAGGTATTAGAGATCCTTAACGAGTGGTTTTACCAGCACTACCTCCTTAGCCAAGCAACGATTTGAGGCCAGGTCTCCTGAGTCCAAATCTGCCGCTTTATCCACTACACTGCACTGACACTATTTTGCCTTATTTGGAAACAATGTGTCTTGCAGGAGATCTGTATGCTTCTGAAGGACACTGTTGATTCAAGAGTGAAGCAGTACCTGAGAGCTCATAAACGACATGGTCAGGGGAAGCAAACGGAATCCGCCAAAGCAAATCCTTTGTTTATGCAAGGTAAGGAACTCTTTATAAAATGAATACATCACTTTCATCACTAGTGGCTTTTACTTGAACTTTTGAGTGTTAACTTGTCTCACTACATATTTTGCTATCAAACAGGCAGAATACACATCTTGGAAACACACATAAGTGTATGGTATCTGTAGTTTGTTGTTGTTAATATATGTTGTCAGGGATGGAATCCTATTGAGGTAACTATATGGGCATAAACAGCAATGATAACATGCTGCAGTTTTCCTCTTTATTTTAATTTAATTTAAAGCTTCCTATTCACCCCTTTTCAGGTTCTGAGGATCCCTTTGGACCTGGGGAATACCTTATGAAACATAAGGCAAGGGTGGGGAGTCTTTAATATCAAAAAATAGCCACTGGATCATCATCATTAGTCTTGTTTCCTGCAGTGGCAATTTGACAATGATTCTTGCTATTAAAGGCTTCCATCCCGTCCTTAGGTTCTCAATGGTTTCCCAGGTCAAAATGGATCCCTAGGGAACCTCAGAACAGAAACAGGGTGAGGAGGAGGAAGAATTTAATTTAATTTAAAATTCACGGGTTGAGGCCATTATTGCCATTTACACCTGCATAAGTTATACAAGAGGATTTCAGCCAGTGAGTCAGTGCAACACTGCACTTGTCAACTTAGAGAGCAAGATTTGATTTCAGTCAAATCAATTTAAATTTTAAAAATCAGATCTTTTTGAAGATTTAAATTTTAAAATCATTTTTTAATTTAAATCAACTTGATTTTTTAAAAAAATTGAAAACTGTTGTTGTTACTGAAGAATAGCTGGTGGTTGATGCAGCTCAGATAATCAGAATACAAAGGACCAATCTGATTTCTTTTTTCCTTGGATGTCCTGTTAGGGGGTGTAGCGTTCATCCTTTGTTAGGTATAAGTCATGTATTATTCATGTTCTATACAAATGTGGTAGAAAGGCGGAGCCAAGAGAGAGGTTAAAAGGAAGAGTCAGTCAGGAGTGAGTCAGTGAGTTAGTTAGAGTTAGAGGTAGAAGAGATAGAGATTGAGTTAGAGACTGGTTAAGATAAATAGATAGTGAAGGTGGAAATTCTCCACAGAATGAGAGAAGGTCTTACAAATGTTGTAACTATGGAGGGTTTGGGCACTTACAATTCAATTGTATGAAGAACAAAAATAAGAGTAAAAATTGAAATGATGGTCAGACCAAGAAAATATACTGCTTGAAAATTGCAGAAGCTACTGAATGTTGTAACAATGGTAGTTCTGTCTCCATGGAAACCAGCATGACAGAAAATTCTGATCTGCCACTAAACATCACAATGGGTGTCCAGCAGCAGGGTATGAAAAAATCCAGTCAAACCAGAGTTAAAAGTGAATTTTCTTTGAGTCAGAGGTACCTTTTAGTCAGAGGTCTGTGGTAAAGAAGTGGGTTACCTGCTAGAGCTTTAGTGGTAAAGCTTAGTGGCAGGGCCTCTGATCCCAGATCTGAGGGGAGACTAAAGACGGAATGACTCTGAAGGAAACAATTATTTTCAGGTTACCTCAGGGTTTGAACAGACCCAGTGGGCTAGCTTAAAATCCAAGGCTCTGCGAGTTAAGGGCGTGCTTGTGGATAAAAAACAGAAGCCAGAGTCAGAACAGGTATGGGGCGAGAGGAACATAAAAACTTGAAAACAGAAATTGTTTTGTGTCTGGAGGCAAGAAGGTTGTCTCAGACCAAGAAACATTGTGGCTGGCATGGTGCCAGAAAAAAGTGTAGCCATCTTTAGCTGCCAAGTGAGAGCTACATAGTACACCAGAAAAACATTGGGAAAAGAAAACAACAGTAAAAAGTGTTCTAAAAAGAGGCCTGACTAACTCTGCAATATAAACCAGCTCTTATCAAAGAAGTATACATACTTATGCCACCCAAAAGAATTAGAAAGCTAGTAATGGAGGTAATTGATCCTCAAGAGGCACAAAGTTTACCTCAGGAAGTGGAAGGAAATGGAGACCCTCTAGCTAGGGAACAGGAGGAAACTCACGAGGGTGCCTCAGGGAGAGAAGGTGTTCTAAGCTCCCCAGATTTTGAAAAACAGAAGCTGGAACTGAAATTTAAATTGAAGGAGCTAGCTGTGCAAAACCAATTAGAATTGGAAAAAGCCAGAGCTGAGCAAGAGGCCAGACAAATGGCATTCGAGCAGGAAATAAAGACTACTAGAGATGAGAGGAAAAGCTGAGCAAGAAAACATACAAATGGAGTTGGAGTTAAAACAAATGGAATTTCAAATGGAAATGAAAAGATTACAATTGGCTGCTCAAAACAATAATAGTAATAATAAATACTCTAGTGAGGGAAATCTCTCAAAATTCGACTTAAAGAAATTCCCCCAATATAGAAAAAGAGACTGCCCTGAATCTTTCCTCATATAATTTGAACGGGCTTGCTGGGACTTTAATGTTAAGGATGATGGTTTTGAGATCCCAGATAAGTGGAGATTTAGCTGAGCTGTATTCTCAGATACCTCTGGAGCAGGCTAGAGATTTTTAAGCATATAGAAAAATGGTATTTTCTAGATTTGGTATTAATGCAGAACAGCTGAGGCAAAAATTTCGTTCCCTGACTAAAAAGCCTGAGGAATCTTATTCTCAGCTAGGGGATAAACTGCTGCAATGTTTGGAGAAATGGATGGAACATGAAAATGTCACTTCTCTTGAGCAGATGGAAAATGATTGGGTTGGAACAATTTTATTCTATTTTGCCTGGGGAATTACGTTATTTAGTTAAGGACAAAAATCATAAAAATCTATTAGAAACAGGTGAAACAGCTGATTACATTGGGGAGATTCGAAACCACAGGTTCTCTGAGGTAAATTTTAACAGGCAAAACTGGAACAACCATAAGAAACCCTTTAATACAAATTTCCTCGGCAAAACAGCAGGAAAAGAAGGCCAGAGTGGTACCTCATCTAAATTAGCATGGCCTAGTTCTCAGACCCAAATGAAC